TAACTTAGAATTGATTACATTTTGGTGGTGATCCGGATCCAATTAATTAATTAACTAATTAATTAATGAATAAAATTTTTCAGGATAGGTCAGAAATGGGGTAACTTAGAATTGATTACATTTTGGTGGTGATCCGGATCCAATTAATTAATAAATTTTTTCACTTAATTAATTAATTAATTAATAAAAATTTTCAGTGAGAGAATTCAGCTGCCTTGGCGGAGGTCTGCGCTCTCCGAGTGCTCCAGTTGCGCATGTTTCAGTAACGTACCGGCAACATTCAAGCAACATTACAGCAACATTCCCGCAACGTTCTAGCAACATTTCGGTAACATTTCAGCTACCCATTCCGATATCAATACAGCAACGTTTCAGAAACGTTCCGGTAACCTTTCAACAACATTCCAGCAACGTTCCGGCAACGTTACAGCAACGTTACAGCAACATTCCAGAAAAGTTCCAGCAACATTACACCAAAATCCCAGAAACATTCCGGCACTCCGGCTTTCCGGCAACTTTCCGGGGCCTAGCATGAGTTTTAACAAGCAGACGAGCGGTGTGAAATCACCTAGCAACACCCATCCGTCATCATTACTCGCCCACGTATCGCCACAATTCTGCAGCTGACAGATTTGCTTCCTTTGTACTTCGCCAAATGCCGTGTGAATAAGTCATCTTCCCGCTAGCATATATACACACGCGAGGCACGCACGCTCTCGTTTGTTGTTCAACGCTATATATGTAGCCTTTTTTATTCCCCTGCTCTAGAAAAGCGGTCGTTTTTCCAAACGGCGGCACAAGTAGGTCGAAAATCTTTATTTGAAAGACACGCAATGATTTATGTCAGGCATGCACGTGAGCGATAGGCGCGTCGGCTGGACACACTGACGCACGCACGCACGCACGCACGCACGCACGCACGCACGCACGGGTAACTATAACCACACAATCATAATCGTATTGTCATTTACACATCATCTACGTAGCTGGGGCATAGCTAAGCCTTCCTCTCTCACGTCCCATCACCGCGCCATACAGGCGCAAATAATCCCTCTTCACAACAATGGCTATTATCGGACTTCACAAATGCTGCACGGCCCCCTTCACAGTGCCTACGGAAACCGTAACTGTAACCATGCATAGTGTGTCGACTTAGCGTAGAGACAGACGTTGGTGCGCGTGCGTGCGTACGTGTGTGTGTGTGTGTGTGTGTGT